TGTGTGGTTATCATCATGCGCTGTGTAGCTCACGACTCTAAGGCGTAAACACGAACATTATCCACTTAGCGAACGCCGAGCGCGGTGGAGGATGGGGTGGAGGGAGGATGGGCCACAGGAGCAGTCCAGGTATCACTTCACCACCGATGTTAGCCGCGGCCAAGGAATTGAACTTGGGTCGCCAGGTTCATCGTTGCAGTATGCCAACAACAGCACCACTGCTCCAACCACACACACCTCCGATTCAGCACGGTTAGCTACGTACGGTGCGAAAGAAGTTCAGCATACGCACATGCGATCAATGTGCAGCAGTAGTTTGCAAGGCCCAATTTGGCGTGCTGCTCTCTACAACAGGATGGGCCATCGGTGGCGTGCCCCGAATTGATATTCATTGCCCAGCATCGCCCGACTTAACCTCGCTAGGCTAATTGGAGACCCTGAGGCCACTTCGTTTGGATGGAGAGTTGCTACATCCACACAAAATGTAACGATTTAACAGTGACCTAGGGAGTGACTCACTCGCACCCCTTAGCCTTGCAGTCACTGCCTGCCTCTTCCTGGGGAGGCTGCCGAGGACACGTGGTTCACGTGGCACGGTTTTAGGCGACAAATGCTCACCGCGATCGCTGCGCAGCCAATTAATCCTCCACAAAAGCCACAGTGCTGTGTCTACCCCCCCCCACCCCCGGCTCAAACAAACACGGGGGTTTGGGGTTCTCCACCTCCGAAGACAGGCATTATTAGCCAGCATTGGAAATGTCGCGTTGTCGTGGCAGGAGCCGGCGTATCAACACCGTTGGATTATCACAAAGTAGTAGGTTTTACCGACCGAGGTCTGATGAGGAGCAACGTTGACCTCCGAACTGAATTTCAAGAGGCCAATAGGTCTCTGCGTCTCCACGTGCTGTGAGAAGAGGCCATTTTCCTCAACGTCACCTATTTTTCTTCATGGGGCAACGTTACTGACGAACGCGTTGAGTTTTTTCCCCCCGACGGGTTTCCCTGCGCGGTGGTGGTGGCAGATGCGTTCCAAATTAAGCGAAACCGCACAAGGAGACAGCTGCCTGCCGAGTAGCAATTATAGTACACACACAAATACAGTACACACACAGCACACACACAACGTTGTCCCACCGCATAGCCGCAGAGAGTGAATTGTTGCGGAGAAATCGGTTAGCCCGATACACGCGAAATCACACCACACTGCCGGCTGGTGTGCCCTGCTCACAGATGGATCAATAAGCCGGATGAAGATCATCAAGATGCCTCTGGATATAAAATAATAACAATGTCCGTCTATATGTTCAGGAAAAGCCTCATCGATTATCAAGACTATTTTACAGGAAGACTGTTTTGGGAGGTTGTTTTTTAACTTTTTTCTTTCTTCAATTAGCTAATTCGGATGGGATGCGGAAGAAACTGGCAGACCCAGAGAGAAACCCCATACCACGCAATTATACAACTAAAACGTCCAAAGCGAAAGCTATTTTCTGCACTGCCAATTTCATGACGCCTCGCAAACCGAGTCGAGTTTATGAAGTGCCACCACACAAAAGGGATGTCTGCATGATCCATTAATTCCCAGTGGTTCTTCTTAACCTGGGGTGCACGCCGCAACCCACTGGGGGTGCGAGATGCCCTTTCTGGGGTGTGCGAGACATGGCCAGATCTGTTTTTAGAAGGTAAATCATCGAAACACAAATTAAGTACGGGCACGTAAGTGCAACTACTTTGATTAATCAAACGCTATGTATTTATTAACATCATACACTTTCTAACGATTTAGAACCAAAGGGGTGCAAGGCTGCAGTAAAGGTTAAGAACCACTGCATTAACGTCTGTCTCTAGAGCTTGTAGAGCTTAGAGGCGTCCACATTGAATGTCTATCTTCAAGTACATCGGCCACCATTGCAGAGGAATTGTGGTCTCACCTGGGCCAGATTCGGAGTGGTGTCCGTAATTCCATCACTCGTGGGTGAATCTGCACCACTTTCACGAAACGACCCCAAGCTAAAGAATTTAAAATGCCGACCGTTAAAACAGATCTAATGGCTGCATAACGAAATGGCGTGATGTTCTCACGGTTTCGTCCACTTTTTACCATTCGTTGTTAGATTTCTTTGCTGTTGCGCGATGTTCTAGAAGCTCATGATTTTCAACAAAGGCCTTCTGTGCCCTCAGCAAGGAATCACGAACAGAATTATTGTTTACTTCCATCTACAATCTTGTTTTTGCGTTAAATAAACTTCATAAACAACAAATTCATTACTTTTAAATCGGACAAGATGTAAAAGAAAATGACCTATTAACATGTTTTAAAAATACCTGCATGTATAATCATCTTTTCTGACGTCAAAATATAAAATATATATTGACTTTTTAAAACACACAAAAAATATTTAATGCATTCGAATGTCACATTCAATTACGGCCAAGGGAAGTCCATGGAGGAGATGGAGCGATGGCCATCGGCTCGTGGCCAGGTGCCGGGTGGATCATTACATCGCACGCTCGTCAGAGATGGTGACGGACTGCGGGGGAAGCCTTCATCCAGCAGCGGATGGATCATGGCTGCTGCTGCTGATGATGATGATTATTCAATTGTGGTAAGCCGACAACGCTTCTCCTGTTCAGAGTCTGGCCACAGTCACATGATTTTTTTTCCTACCAGTGAATCAGGACCAACCAATACACATATAAATATGTTGGTATGTTTTATGTCTGGACTTTTGTATTGCGCTGAGAATGCGTGCTCTATAAGATTAACTTTGCCTTCATTGGTGATTTTGTACAAAAAGACAAAGATCCCCCGTCTAGCCTCAACAGACTGTTTGGGCAAGTGCTGTTAGCGAGCACCTATGAAGGTTGACACGGCACACAAGGGGGCGGGTGGGCAACACCACGCCCGGCCACCTTTGTCTCCCCAGTGGCGATGTTTACACACCGCACCAGGTACTCATTTGAGGCCGAGTCGACCGAGGGGAGGCCCAGGAGCGGTTCAGAAAATCACCGGTGTTGGCCATGAGCGGGAATCTAACCCGGGTCGCCGGGTTCGTAGCGCAGCGTACTAACCGCTACACACAACCGCTCTCCCACGTACACGGACACACACGAGCACAGCAGAATTCCTGGCCCTTCGACATTTCTGCAATGTCAATTCATCAGTGCACCACATGAACACCTGGTTCTTGCCAACAAGTGTTCTCTGCCAGTGTATTAACACCCAACCAGGGTCTCTCAAAAAACATCCAAGACCACCCCCCACCAGAGTTGTTCACCTGGGCTTCCCGTTGTAATTTTTCCCACAAAAGTTCGTCCCGATTACTCTTTGGTTTTTTCGGTAAAGTGACGTAGGTAAAAAAAATTAAAATAAATTAAATCACGACGTTTCGGAAGCAACACAAGCCTACGTGACTTTTACTGGAAAAAAGAGTATGAATCCTTGCAGTCACGAAAACTTAAAATCTAGAATTGAATTCGTCCTGATTGTGCTGTGGGCGAGGTGTCACACAACGAAGTATCCTTTCGGATCCCTTTGCACTAGAGAACGGCCCAAGGAAGCGGAGATCACAGAGCTACCTCTGAGATCCCTTCAAAGTGACCTCCAGTTCACACAGTACGGGGTCAGCACTTTCCCACTCGCTCTGCCATACGGAAGAGTTATTGTTCGTCGCTGGAGAGCTGAACTGATATTGTAATTCTCAGAGCTAGAATTCGTCCAAATTAGGTTGTAGCGCTAAATTGAAAGTAAAATTTTGTTGTGTGTGTGCAGCCATTGTCGACTGGACTGAGACCCTTGATATCCTGCTTTAACCACAGGCAGCTGCGTGGATCAAACTACGAACCTGAGTCTACACGGTACCATCCATAGTCCTTTTAGGCAAGAGATAGCATGCTGGTTTAATCTCAGTGGATTTAGTTTATTTTCTTTCAAGGAAGATACACGCGCCGTTATGGATTGAATGTAGGCAGTTTATTCCTACTGTGGCACATCGCACGTGTCCCTAAGTTACGGGACACAGCCAAAAATGCCCAGGGTCAAGAAAAGGACGCAAAACCGGGGATGTATTTGCGTAAGCATCTCCATTCTTCTCATTGCAGTCTCTGTATTTAATAAGCTTGCCGCTTCCACCACGTGTCTTGCGACCACTGCTGCTGACACTGGGTGCTGTGGCCGCTTTCGTTACTGCCGCTGCTGCTGCTGCTGCTGCCGGCGGGAGACGTTGATCACCATGATAATGAAATATATCTCGCTGGGCGGCTCAGCAGTCGAGCGAGCGGCTCACAATCGTCGAGGCTTGCCACATCAAATCCTGGTTGAGGGTTGACGGAGGCCCATTAAATCATCCGGGGTGGATGCAATGGATGCCACGTTGTGTGGAGGGCACCAGTGCTCGTCCTGCGGGTAAACTCGTCTCTGCCATAGGAATGAGGAATTTCCGGCACTGGCTCAGGGCTGTCTACACACTCCGGCTAGCTGGGAAAAGGCGGAGGGTATTGGTCTCCTTGCTTCCGCTTGGCTCCTTGATCTCTCCCTTTCATCTCCTCCCTTTCCCTCTTTCGAATCCCAAATATCTTCATTCTCTCCCCCCATGCCATCTCTCTGCTCATCATCTATCGTCCTCCTGGCCCACATCCTTCTTTTTTGATCATCTCGAATACATTCTTTATTCCACTCTACCCCTGCCTCACCCATTCATTCTTCTGGGTGATTTTAATCAATCTTAGCACTCCCTCTGTTGCTTCCGTTCGTCCTTCCCCTTGTCAATTCATTACATTTCCACCTCCCATCTTCCCCGACTCATTTGAGCAGCAATGCACTTTGACTTTTGATGATGATGATGATTATAACGACAGCTTCAAACCTTGTCTCTGCAATGAGTGAAGGACTGATGCACGTAAATTAGCACCGCACGAGGATAGTTTTAATATTCGTTGGCGCGTGAGACCGGGAGATTTCAATGCGTGCGGAAGAAGCGAGGGGGGCGGGGGGCACTCACATCTCATCCGTGTAGGCGAGCCCAAAGTACTCCTTCTCCTTCAGGCTTACATGGGACGCCACGAGATCCAACAGCTCCTTCCCCAGCAGCTTGGGCTGGAACACAAGGGTTGGCAACAGGGCAACGTCACAATTCAGTCGTTTAATTCAGGGGTCCCTGACCCGCGGATTGGTACCGGTCCGTGGCCTGTTAGGAACCGGGCCGCGCAGCAGCAGGAGGTGAGAGCGGTGAGTCCGCTGCGTGGAACCCGCCCCCATTGTTTTATTATTCACCATTTCCGTCCGCGCCTCTCTCCCGCACTGCGCACTCGTCTCAGTCACGGTGTTGGTGAGCCCACAAGCTCTAACCCCTAGTAGCCACAATGAGTCAAACACAAACGTCGCTGGAGAGCTTCTTTGAAAAGGGGGAAAGACCCAATGATGAACCACCCCTCCCACCCCAGTCTGTGAAAAAATTGTCTTCCAAGAAACCAGTGCCTGGTGCCAAAAAGGTTGGGGACCGCTGTTTTAATTATTTCCCGTGACATTCCAACTTTCGCCATCGGCATCGGCACACAGCGCTGCAGCAACTGCAATCGTCAGTTGGAAACGATATCCCGGCGTAGCAGTTGAGCTCACATCAGATGTAGGCAGCGTTTAAGTATTAGGCAGGGGGGAGGTGGGGGGTAGCTCTTAGAACTTGCCATTGCCTTAACTTGGTACGGAAACATTTAAACGATTTCACTTGTCATCATCACCATCGTCAGCAACGATCAATCCACTGCTGGGCGAAGGTTTCGTAGGGCGCTACGGGCGCGGGGTCGGAAAGGCCGTGCGCATTATTTTAACGACCATTTAATGCCACTGTTGCTTTCGCAGCGGCGGGGGATTGGAATCTAATTGTCGCCGTTGTGGCTAGCTTGCTTGGGGGAAGATCTGTTTGGGAAAATGTCAGCAGCACGGCTCTGTGCAACCGAAATTAAATGGCTGCATCTAATGACATAATTAAACCAATTTGCATTGCTCGTTGTAGAGGAGGAAGTCGTGGAGCTGGGCTTGTACAAACAACAAAAAAGCAAGAGACCACTTAAGTGATCACGTGTGAATTTGAAAGGGAAACAGGATGAAATTCAGACAATGTTACGCAAGGTTAGATATTTTCCGCCAAAATACAAAACCACAAATTCTTCATGATTAATTTGTAGATTCTCAAATCCAAGGGCTCCATGATTGGAACAATAATGTTTAGGTTTACAAAGCATCGTCCATGCGTAGTGCATCTCACAATCTCTGAGGAACACAGACAGACGCGAAAGCAGCAGGCAGGCAGGCACGGAACCAGCACTACCAATTTCACACGTTCTGCAGTCCACTATATATTAAGATAGTTTCAGCCAATCCATCGTAGTTTATACAAGTGTGAACAAATCGGAGAACCCGGAGAAACGCCCAAGTGTGCGAAGGGGCAACACTGTATCCCATAGCGAAGAGACAAATGATAAGTTCCCAACTTCACTGCACCGCCGTCTCCTGGCGAGCCAGGGTATGGCACCTCAACGCCCACGGAGTTTCGCAACATGTGTGTGATACACGAACCCTTGCCTCCACAGGGCTGGATTACAGGCCACATGAATAACCATCACTGCCCGGCTGTCATAATTTTGTATTATTATTTCTAGATTTGAAGCTTTCGTGACTGCAAGGATTCATATTCTTAGGTGTTTTCGGTAAAGTCACATAGGTAAAAAATGTAAATTAATAAAAGTATAATAAAAATAAAATAAAAATCACGATGTTTCGGAGGCAACACCTGAAGACGGAAGCTTGTGTTGCCTCCGAAACGTCGTGATTTTTATTTTATTTTTATTTTACTTTTATTAATTTAAATTTTTTACCTACGTGACTTTACCGAAAAAACCTAAGAATGTTATTATTATTATTATCGTGTGCTACCTGCTACAGTATTATAATTTACAACAGCATCCCTTAAAATCTTGACCTAAAGCTTTCGTGACTGCAGGAATTCATATTCTTTGGGTCTTTCGGTAAAGTCACGTAGATAGGTTCAAAGACGGTCGCTTGTGTTGTGATCGAAACGTCGTAGTTTTTTTTGTTATTTTCTTTGAACCTATCTACGTAACTTTACCGAAAAAATATGAATTACGCATCCCTCAAACATTTCTACTCTTTGCACGATATCATGCATTGTGCTCATGAAATTATCACATCGTTTATGAGACGCTTTTGTAGCTTGAGAAATATAACTCAACTATTTAGTGCGTTTTTTTGTTTGTTACTAAACATCCCTGAAAATAACACCTTTGCTTATGACAGAAGTGGTCCGTGTAAAAATGTAAATGGATTGCATTTCAGATGAATTGGGTCAAAAGCTGCTGTCCGCAATGTACACTTGTGTTGGAGTGCATTTTTGTAATTGCCATAATGACAAAATAAAAGCTTAGTCATGCCTTAAACCGGAACACAATTATTCCACTTAGCATCACTCAACGATATCCAAATGAATAATAACGATAATTTAAAATCTTCCGTTTCATCCACAGTTTGACTATACTTCACCATGCTGGTCAATGCTGGTTGGTGAAAGAGATGGGGGGGGGGGGGATGTTCAGATATCACAGACCACCGATGTTAGTCGTGGCCAGGAATCAAACTCAGGTTGGCAGGTCCTAGGCGCAGTGCCCTCACCATTGTGAACTCCCATTAGCTACCAAAAGTTATAAAATAGCATCGGGGGTTATGAGCCAGGGGTTTCAATTTTACATTTCTTACTGCAGGAACCACTCTCATCTAATCTATAGAGTGACCACCACTGTTGTCATTAACCCGTTCCAAGACGTCTGCACGTTGCCGGGCAGGTAAGTGGGTCTCCCTTTTACCGCTGAATCTCGGAAACGCGCGAGCGACGAGTGTTTATATTTCATGCAATCGGTAGACATTCTACGCGCGGCCAGCGTTCTGCAGCCCTTCCAGACGGAAAGCAGCGGTAACGGTGCCTTCCTCGCGCTGTCACACTGCCGTGGAGTGGCCTACCCCACGCGCACGACTCTCCAGCAGAGGTCGCAACCCGATACCCGGGTACGGGTACCCGTTTGCGACCCTGGTGCGGCCGGGTACGGGTACGGGTAGGCCGTGAGTCACTGGTGAGTAACCGTTTGTCACTCATTTCCCAAAGTCTTGTCTCTTCTCACAATTCAAGTTCCTAGAATCAACCCACCCGCGCCTGCAACATGGCTTCGTCCCAGAGGTCGCAATCAGGTACCCGATACCCGTAACCTACCCGATACCCGGCCGGGTACAGGTAGGGTACGGGTACGGCCGGGTACGGGTACCCGTTTGCGACCCTGGTGCGGCCGGGTACGGGTACGGGTAGGCCGTGAGTCACTGGTGAGTAACCGTTTGTCACTCATTTCCCAAAGTCTTGCCTCTTCTCACAATTCAAGTTCCTAGAATCAACCCACCCGCGCCTGCAACATGGCTTCGTCCCAGAGGTCGCAATCAGGTACCCGATACCCGTAACCTACCCGATACCCGGCCGGGTACAGGTAGGGTACGGGTACGGCCGGGTACGGGTACCCGTTTGCGACCCTGGTGCGGCCGGGTACGGGTACGGGTAGGCCGTGAGTCACTGGTGAGTAACCGTTTGTCACTCGTTTCCCAAAGTCTTGCCTCTTCTCACAATTCAAGTTCCTAGAATCAACCCACCCGCGCCTGCAACATGGCTTCGTCCCAGAGGTCGCAATCAGGTACCCGATACCCGTAACCTACCCGATACCCGGCCGGGTACAGGTAGGGTACGGGTACGGCCGGGTACGGGTACCCGTTTGCGACCCTGGTGCGGCCGGGTACGGGTACGGGTAGGCCGTGAGTCACTGGTGAGTAACCGTTTGTCACTCATTTCCCAAAGTCTTGCCTCTTCTCACAATTCAAGTTCCTAGAATCAACCCACCCGCGCCTGCAACATGGCTTCGTCCCAGAGGTCGCAATCAGGTACCCGATACCCGTACCCTACCCGATACCCGGCCGGGTACAGGTAGGGTACGGGTACGGCCGGGTACGGGTACCCGTTTGCGACCCTGGTGCGGCCGGGTACGGGTAAGGAATCAAAACCCGTTTGCGACCTCTGCTCTCCAGTCTGCAAGGGGACGTACCCACGTCTGCCTCTGAACTCTGCACGCCCTCAATCCTCCAATGCTTCTCCTTCAGTCATCTCTATGACCCTGTTACCATGGCAACCCACCCCACCGCCACCTACCCCGGTCCCCACTTCCAGTCCACGCAGCGTCTAAGGCTCCACGCGCCGGGCCTGCTGCTTGCTTGTGGCTCCCCCACGGACCCAAGCCGAGGACGAGACGAAGAGATGGCGTGACGCGTTGAACGTTGCACGTTTGTGAACCGATGGGAATTTCCACGATTTGGCTCCTGTCGATGGGCAATGGGATGCTACATTACACAACGTGGAAGTGCCGTGCTGCTAAAATGAGCGTGGAATTGGTGGCCATCTCCGTCAGTGACCTAGAGCCAGTGGTGGAAATTCCATATCCCGACGGAGTGGGAGGAGGAGGAGGAGGAGGTGGGACACGTGTCCATTGAGCATGCGCACTTTGTGGAGCTACAAAAACATTTTTTTGTTCATCTTCTTGGTTCTTTCGTTAAAGTCACGTAGAAGGGAAATAATAAAATAATAAAAATTAAACATAATAAAATAATTCACGACGTTTCGGCCACAACGCAAGCAGACGGCTGCTTGCAGACCTGAAGACGGCTGCTTGACAGACCTGTTCTCCACCTGAAGACGGCTGCTTGCGTTGTGGCCGAAACGTCGTGAGAATTATTTTATTATGTTTTATTTTTTATTCTTTTATTATTTTCCTTCCACGTGACTTTACAGAAAGAACCAAGAAGATGAATCCCTGCAGTCACGAAAGAAGCTTTAAATCGAATTTTTTTGTTCTTTTTTAATAAACCCAGCAGCTGCCCAACTAAGCAGGATTTCTTCAACTCGCGAACCTTCCAATACACGGGCGATCGTGTCCTTCCTTCCAGTTAGAGTATGCATGCGAGTGGGTTTTTTTGGTTCGGGAAAGGGCATTGATTGGGTGATGACACAAAGACAAAGATCCCCCGTATAGCCTTAACAATCTTGTCGGTAGAAGTGCCGTTACCGAGCACCTATGGAACGCAATGGCGTGAGTGGCCAGCACCACGCGCGACCGCCTTTGTCTCCCTAGTGACGATGATTACCACACCAAGTACTCATTGGAGGCCCAGGACCGGTTCAGATAATCGTCACTGGTGTTGGGCCAGTGACGATTATTGCCGGGTTCGTAGCGCAGCGTGCTAACCACTACCACTCCCCACAGTCATGGACTTACAGTAGCTCTGTCCATGACTGAGCCCGATTGTCTATCCACCCGAGCGTGTATTTTCAAGCGCTCGCCTGATTGGGTAAAGGGCATTGATTTGTCGATGCCACATACACAGGGACACGCGCAGCCCTCGATGCTTCCTCTCGGCAAAGGATAAAAACAGCGGTACCACAGGGTGACATCCCCTTAAACGTGAAGGGATTAGGCTTCCAGCATGGAACAGCATGGGATTAGCACGTGACGTGAGCATTACATCAATGAGATTTGTCAACCCCCCCCCCCCTCGCCGCAAGGCAGGGCCATGCATAAGAAAGTGGTCCCAAGGTGCTGATGTGGTCCAATTGACCCGACAACAAAGCTTCGTCAATAACGGTGTAAAAAACCGGCACATATCTGTGGCAGCGAGATACACGCGTTCCTCCGTTTGGAAAGCGATTATTTTTCAATCGTGCGCCGTGAGGTCCGGCCGGGGTAGGCAGCTGCTCTATAAATATTCGAGTCGCGGATTTAAAAGGGAATTTCGGCTGCACAAGTTAACAGTGCCCCCGAGGCTGTGATGCGCTCAAGAGATTTCAGAGGAGCGATCTTGCTCTGGCTAAACCCATCCCAGCTTCACCTTCAGCTTCACCCCACCACACCTCTCCCGCCGCTCTGTCCTTCAACAACAACGGCGACATCTACAAGAACGCAGCGTTCTAAGGCCAAAGGCAAAAACACGCTTGTTCATGCTCCGACAAGCGTGGGCTGCTGGTTGGGTGTTCATCACCAACGGTGCTGCTGCCCCCACGTGGGTGCGCCCCCCCCGTCACTTCTGCCCCCCCCCCCACCTTCAACCATCCTCCTCTTTTTTGTTCAATTCCTAATATCCTCGTGTGTTGGGTGAAGAGACACGAACAGGCGACAGAGACGAGATAAGAGATTTGCAGACAACATTACGAGATGTTATGAGATCAAAAGAGAGGCAAGAAAAAAAAGACGAGAGACGCGAGAAATTCAATTGATAATAATAATTGACATTTAGAAGGTGCAATTAAACCAGGGGGTTTATCTGAGTGCGCCGTGCAAGAAGTTAGGAAACGTTTCGATTTAAAGCTTTCGTGACTGCAGGGATTGATCTTCTTGGTTCTTTCGGTAAAGTCACGTAGAAGGGAAGTAATAAAATAATAAAAATAAAACATATTTTATTATGTTTTAAAACATTTTATTATGTTTTATTTTAATTATTTTATTACTTCCCTTCTACGTGACTTTACCGAAAGAACCAAGAAGATAAATCCCTGCAGTCACGAAAGGAAACATCGATCGTCCAAAGTAGTCCCGAAGTCCACTGGTCACACATGAAGAGTGTAGGCCAGGCGGCACGGACGAGTCTTTTGAGAAGCCCTAAACAGTGCGAGTGAGCTCGCCTGCCTAACCACCAGTGGCAGAGCCATGCTGCGTACATCGAGCCCTGCAATGTATTAGGAGCCATGTTTTATTCATAGAGAGAGCCACGAATGAGCTCGTTACGTTCATTACGATTTCAAATTCGAGATATGATGCACCCAGATTTTCCATGAACCCCGATGCCCCCCTTTTCTCCTGAGCTTCTTGGGGTGAAATTATTCTGGGGTGCTATGAATCTGGAGTGCTGTGATTTTGAGGTGCTGTGATTTTGGGGTGCTGTGATTTTGGGGTGCTGTGATTTTGGGGTGCTGTGATTTTGGGGCACTGTGATTTTGGTGTGCTGTGATTTTGGGGTGCTGTGATTTTGGAGTGCTGTGATTTTGGAGTGCCATAATTTTGGAGTGCCGTGATTTTGGTGTGCTATGATTTTGGTGTGCTGTGATTTTGGGGTGCTGTGATTTTGGGGTGGTGTGATTTTGGGGTTTCTATGATTTTGGGGTGCTGTGATTTTGGGGTGCAATAATTTTGGGGTGATGTGATTTTGGGGTGCTGTGATTTTGGGGTTTCTATGATTTTGGGGTGCCATAATTTTGGGGTGCTGTGATTTTGGGGTGCTGTGATTTTGGGGTTTCTATGATTTTGGGGTACCATGATTTTGGGGTGCCATAATTTTGGGGTGCTGTGATTTTGCTCGATTTCTTTACCCCCCTACGCCACCCCTGCTCAGATGCAATGTCCGCCCTGATTGAGCCAGTGGGTGGAAATGGCACATTCACAAAGCAGAAGCGGAAAGTCTTTTCCATTAGGCAACCACTATTGACGTCCCAACGTACAGAACTCACGGCATTTGTGCCTCACAGCAACATGTGCCGAGGTTGGATTCCCCACTGGGGGTCGACTATCTCCGTGACGTTTCTATGTTCTTTTCCTGTTCTTCACGGGTTTCCTCTAGTTTCCTCCCATAGCTAAAACAACAACATCAACAAAAACCCCAACATACAATGTTGTCCGGTATTGAAGGAGAAAAACAAGGACAAGAGCGTATCAGCGTCAGCAGCAACGGCCCGACACAAATCCCGTCCAGCAGACGAGCGGGCAACTCTTTGGCCACAGTGTGCGGGCCGATGCTTTCCTTTCAAGGGTTGGGCCCTCTCATCCCACCGGCGCGCAGGAAATGTCTAGCTGTTCTCCGCAGTCGTCATAGTTCGCGATGGACAGCTGAAGAAGAATAAGGCATCGGCCAAACAGCCCATTCCTTAGAAATTATTCCAAAGATTACTCACTCTGGGATTTACCAACGGCAACATCGCCCCCCCCCCCCCCCCCCCCACTGAGACAACTCGTGGGGACCCTCCTGAAAATAAGTATCTTGAGACTTTCTGATTAACAATAAATTTAGTGATTCACTCCGAAGGGATGGTGAACTAAACTGACCCCCCCCCCCAAATGAAGCATCACCTTGGAAGCATACAATTGTGAGTGAAGAACCCATTACATTTTCTTTTTTACAAACCTTTGCATGAGGCAACAAAACGAGCATGAATTAAACAATACTCCTGCAGACACACATTTGCCAATAAATGCGTAAGATACACACAACAACCTCTAAGGAGCATTAAATTAGCAGATAAAAAGGAAACCATTTAAAAAAGGGCCGTAAGCGTGACATCACAAAACTTAAACGTGATATTTACAATTGCTGTAGAGCAGTATTATCTGACGAGTTAGTTTCGTATCGGTTTGAGTGTTTTCGTTCGAGCCTTACTATACTGATGGACTCCTGGAACCAATTACACGCTTTGGCAGATTCAACATAACGGCCTATAATCTCCGCTCTTAAAATCAAGTCACGCCCACATTGGTTGCTCTTTGCTGGTATTTCGTTCTTGAAGACCGCTTTAATGAAGAACTGTGAGCGTGTCCCAGAAGAGTGAGGGTATCACAGTCAGAATAAATCTCACCGTCACTAAACTATTCTGTACGCATGATAAGCTCTAAAACATTGCACACATTTGAGTTTTTTTTCACATCAAGAAAATTAACTGAGCCCAGCACTCAGATGAACACATCTCTCTTTCGGGCCCAATTGTGTTTTTTTTTAATTCCGTGGAACGTGGCCGTCCCGCGTATACCAGCATTTACCGCCCATCCCTTGTTAACGCTGAGAAGGCGGTGGTCGGGGTGCTGCCGGATCCTTCTGCTTGAACTGCTCGAGTCCCAGGGGGCTGAGGGTGTCCCCCACAATGCAGTTCAACTCGGTGGTGAACAGGAGGATTTCTACACAAATCTGGCTGTCCGCCTGACGATGCCAGTTGTAATTACTGACGAAACGTTGTACTCAGATTGTAAATGTTGTGGGTTTACTCTCCAACACACCGGTGTGCTGTACTAGCGACGAATTGGCATGTTCTGTTTACGTGACAAACCTTACTAATTGGGTGTGTCTGGTGGTGGCGGGTTTTACGACACATTTGCATTTACACGTTCTAACCCAAAAAAACCTCTGTTATGGATGATGAACGAGTGGTAACGACGAACGCCCGAGTCTCGACGGTGTGCGGGGGTTGTGCCGTTCAAGTCACCTGGACCAGGAGCTCCAACTTCCGGTCGTCCAGAAGATTAATCTGGCACCGACGCCCTTCCGTCATCTGTGGCGCGCGCACACACAGAGGAGAGAGCAATGGTTGAATGAGCGTGGGCTGGGTGGGGTCCTAGGGTTAGAGCACGAGCGTGTGAAGGTTCAGATCCCGGTTGAGTATCGGGGCAGCTCAGCAGACCCTCCTGGGTTAAATAAGTAATATTGAAAAAAAAACTTTTATGAAATGTACCGTACTAGTAATGGAAGAACTCCACGACTCCAGGAAGTGGCCCCGAAGCTTGAATAACGTAACGGGCTCCGTGGTGATTTACAGCCAACGGCAGTTGAGCGTGGACAATTAGACCCAAGCCGAAACATAACATATAAAAAAATACTGTTTAAAAAATATTTTTTATTTTTAATGATACAATATCGTATTGTCATCAGTATGACATAAGTATGCCAAGTTTGCAGTCGATACCACATTGGGAAGTGGGTAAAAATTGAGTTACAAGATTTTAGGATACAACAACAGACAGTGAGTTAATAAAAATCGTGTAAATAAAAAGAAATAGGACCCCCGACCCCACCCGGTTCCCCCCTCCTCCTTCCTCCCTCCCTCCCCCTGTCCGTCTCTTTCCTTCCCCCGGTATTATAGTTATCTTCCACCTCACCCCTTTCCCCTCACCATAAATACCTCACCTGGTATACAGGAGGTCGTGGGTTCGATCCCGACCCTGACGCCTGCTGCTGTATATTTGGAGTTGTGTGTCTCTCTCATCATCATCATCACGGTGACTAGGAGATGTTAACTACCTCGCCTGGTGTACAGGAGGTCGTGGGTTCGATCCCGACCCTGACGCCTGTTGTACATTTGCAGTTTGCGTGTCTCTCTCCCCGTGGTCACGTGGATTTTTCTCCAGGTCCTCCGGTTTTCCCCTCCACATTTAGAATCAAAGACGTGCCGTTCAGAACATTTGGCTGCTGTAAATTTCCGGACGATAAGCCCACTTCGTTGCGCTATCAGCTCAGTGGGGCCTTAGCTGCCAAAATAAAAATAGTTTGTTTTTGTATAAACATTCCTGTACCCCCCCTCCTTCCCCGGAATGTGGTCCCTCCACCTGGGTAGTGGGTGCAGTGAGCCCAATCTCCCCCCCCCCTCCACCCCTGCATTGGGGCACCTGTCATGTCGAAAATCGGGCTGCGGCTGTTCACCAAGTTTGTGTCCCCCCACTCCCCAAAACCCCTCCGTTCTGTAATTGGCGTTTCGGTACCGGGGCTCTCGTTGAGTTGCAAATGAGAAACAAAAAAGTAAGAGGTAGCAGTTTCGTGGAAAGTTTTAGACTAGTTCTTGAATCGAGAGAGAGAGAGAGACCGGCCCCCTTGCCATGGAATTTGAAATGAGCAGGGGCTCTCAATGGCGTTACGGGCATGAGTTTCAAATCGTGGCTAGGTTCAACTGACTCCCACAATCTCCCCACCGGATATAATTAGGATACAATGTGGAAGAATCCCATCAGGTTTTATTTCTTATTCTAACATTACTGGATGGAGTGTCAACAGTGGTTGTTGTTCTTCTTGGTTCTTTCGGTAAAGTCACGTAGAAGGGAAGTAATAAATAATAAAAATATAACATAATAAAATAATTCTCACGACGTTTCGGCCACAACGCAAGCAGCCGTCCTCAGGTGAAGACCAGGTCTGTCGGGAAGACAGCGTCTGAATGAAACACCACCACGCTTGGAGCGTCTATTTAAGCTGCTGGGTTGGAAAGTGGTTGTTCTGTTAGAGACCGATCCTTGCCATGGAAATGGGGGAATCTCCACCACCGGCTCGAGGTTTGCCAATTGAAGACGGAGCACCGCTTCGATGCTTTGACCGAGCACGGAAGAGGACTTTGGACTGCGTTTGCATACCGAGTTGAATCTCGGTGCCCAGTCAATCCAGCAGCGGTGGTCATCATGGGTTGATGAAGGAGTTACGGGGTCAGTAGGCGGGGGTGGGGGGGGGGGTTGCCCAGGACATTTTCAAATCTCACTCGCCACCGATTGTTTGCCGTGCCTGGGGATCGAACCCAGGTTGCTGGGCTCATAGCACAGTGTGCACTAATCACTGTTGCCAACGATCACACTCATGACAATTGAATATGGCTTTCAATTTGTTGGGTTTGAGGGTTGAATTACCCTCGTAAAATGATTATTAATCAGTCTCCTTTGTGTAACCAGGTAAGAGCACTATGAGGTTCATCCCCAATCATTTTTGTCCCCCAGCGATTAAATAGAAAGTTTAATTAGCAATGTGCGGTGAGTACATTCTTGACACTTTGGCTGTCGATATATATTTTTAAATACCCAGGCTATTGGCTGCGGAGCAGACAAAGCGCCATGGCTGTAGTACTTTAACCGCACCACATATATTGTACTAGCTTTACTACCCGGCTTCGCCCGGGGCTTGAATTAACCACGCCCGGCCGCCTTTGTCTCCCCAGTTCACACACCACAGCAGTTACTCGTTTGAGGCTGAGTCGACCTAGGGGAGGCCCAGGAGCGGTTAAAATAAGCGTAACCGGTGGTGGCCGTGAGCGGGAATCGAACTCGGGTCGCCGGGTTCGTAGCGCAGCGCGCTACCCACTACACTACAATGCATTACGCTTTCACATGCGCGGGTCACGTGACAGATTTGACGTCACAGCTCACTTGCTGTGCAAAAAAATATATGCATTATTGAGATCCCCACCCCCACCCAACAAAAACACAAAAGTGTATTTTTATAATTTGTGTATGGTGTACAGTCTGGAAAGTACCCACATGGCAAATTTCAAGTTTGTTGCATGTCGGGAAGTACGCTAAACATTTTGAACAGACACACATAATCACAACTTTCCCTTTAATATATATGTAGATTGTACCGTTATAAAGAAGCGTTCATGAAGAACGTGGCGAGTGCTTTTATTTTATTTCTACTCGCGTTTCGTGAGCGTGTGTATTGTTCAGGTGCCGTTTGTCTGCAGGTTTCAACTGCCACGCCCGCCGGGTGAATTAACTGAACCGGTGACCTCTTGTTGACCTTTGCGAGTCCCAACGAGCGAACCGTTATTCCAAAGCAGCATCCCACGTCGGCAAAACGGAGAGTCTATCGGCGTAAACAAAGCCATGCTACGTATATAGACCCACGCGATGCAGGAGATAGATGCCATGCTATACAACAAGTATAACCCGTAAAAACAAAGTTTTTCACTATAAATCCTTTATATGCGTGGCGGCTAGAGTCCTCTCGTCCTCTGGCTTGAGATGGCTACCACCTATGGGTCAGATGATTGCATTGCACCATTAAGCAATTGGTAATTAAATATAATATTTTTGTCCTAAAAAGTGTAACATTTTGGATTTTTTTTTTTCTTGAACATTAATTGTCACACACAACAAGTCTGTGTGGAAAATGTCAGCTCGATTGGATCACGGGAAGTGGGTTAAAAAATGACCGAAAGATTTGCACGGTTGTAAGCAAGCAAGCGCGCAAGTGAACTTAATATAAAGGATTTTAAAAAAGAGGCCACGGCTCTCCAGCATCTGCCACTGAGACGGCTGGAGAAGAACTTGTCAAAACTTGACTCTGCTTACTAATGAGCGCCTGCGACGAATGCGAGCCAGTGAGCCGCCCTCGCCGTATCAGATGCGCACAGGCAGTGGCACGCTGCAGAGCCACCCATTGTGACAACCATCACACATTCCAGTGCCCTTCGATTGCTCATTTACTGCTCATTAAGGCCGATTACAACCATGCTCTATTAACTCATCCGCAGACTATGTGATGTGCTTCCGTATGCCACCCTGAAGCCAAACGCTTTTAAAATAAATTCTGTAAAACTTGGACAATTTGATTTCTGGTAAGTAGAAAACAGTTAGAATTAATGGGGCATGACCATATGGAGCAATTTTTTTTATTTTCTGATTTCCCTACGAGATGGCGGCAAGACATATCATAGCCGTGGCCTGAAAGCAACTACATTTGGGGTCACGTGAAATATCAGGAACGGCCACAGGAGGGCATCACCTGGTCCTGAGGACAAGCGATGCCTGGCTGGGAAAGGGTTTGATCACAAGACATTGAAAGCGGTCGGTTTTCAAAAATAAATGTGATGAAGGGGCAAACAAAATTTGCACCAAGTCGGATACAGCGAAGTCTTGCCAATGATGAGCTATGTTAACTGTACAGGGATCCCGATGCATCATTTCAAAGTCATGACAGCGATCTGCCTCTGAAAACACATTCCTGCGGAGGGAGCTGGTAGGAACGTTGGGTTGCTCGGTCAATGGCCTGCAGGGTCAACGGCGGCGTGGTGTATTCCGCAAATATGCCCGACTGTGAGGGCGGGCACAAGCCGGCGTGAGTAGGTTAAACGTTGAGTTTTATAAGGGCACCACGGGGTGACCAGCCCCTCCCCACCCAGCCCCACCCTTCCCACCCCCCACCCAGCCCCACCCTCCCCACCCAGCCCCTTCCCACCCTCCCTCCCCACCCCCCACCCAGCCCCACCCTCCCCACCCAGCCCCTTCCCACCCTCCCTCCCCACCCAGCCCCTCCCCACCCAGCCCCTCCCCACCCAGCCCTTCCCCTCCCACCCCACCCAGCCCCTCCCCACCCTCCCCACCCAGCCCCTCCCCACCCAGCCCCTCCCCACCCAGCCCCTCCTCACCCTTCCCTCCTCACCCTCCCCACCCTCCCCACCCAGCCCCTCCCACCCTCCCCACTCAGCCCCTCCCCACCCTCCCCTCCCCACCCAGCCCCTCCCTGCACGACGGACGGACAAAATAATCCCCTGTGGGCTGGTGTAACCAGGAGGTTCCTACCAGTATAAAGACCGTCTATGAACAGGGCGATGCAACTTTGCAATATGTCAAAGTTGTAATGAATCTCGTTACAAATATCGGCCACAAAACGATGAAATGCGCAAGGAAATGTCTTGCAGCTAATTCCACTCCATCGCATCTACACACCCAAACGGCGTTCCAAATGCTTTGTTGACAAATAATGAGGCACTTGTGGACCCATAGAGACACGATGCATCAA